CAATTATTAAACTGTTCTTATCTCAACCCAGAAGTTTTCTCCCTCTTAACTCCTCTGATTCTCTTCCCCATCCCACGGGGGCAGGGGAAGTGAGCAAGCGGCTGCATGGTGCTTAGTTGCTGGCTGGGGCTAAACCACAACAAAATGTAAAAATAAATAGCCATTATATTTTGTATAATTGCATTTTAAATACCGATTTTCATGGTCTGTTGAGCCTTAGCATATACCTAGGAAAATACAGATCAGGTGAATTATGAGCATGGAAGGCAGAGTGAAAGAAAACAAACCAAATAGGAGAAAGTAAAAAAATATGTATTATTGAACATAACATCAGGTCTGTGTAAAGCTAGTTCAATGCAGTATGAATAGTGATGTAGTGTTTATAGTTAAAGTGACTAGTAATTATAACATGTTGCAGAAGTCTGAAATGTGTAATCAACTATGCAGTTCTACTTTACTTAAAGACTGTTTTCCAGTTTATAAACCAGTGATTAAAAGCAATGATATATTTTCTTGTACTGAGGCTTACTGACTTCAGTATTTCCATTCATTTTTCTTTAAAGGTCTCCAGCAGTGCCTTTCACTTCCTATGGCATGCATCACACCAGCTTGCTGAAACGGCATATTGCCCATCAGCCTTCTGTGAATGCTGACCCAGCTTCCCAGGAGATCTGGAGATCAGAAACGCTGCTTCAGGTAGGTTGGATTTAAGGAAGAAAATACCCCACAACATTTCTTGCTGCTAACTGAGGAATCTCTTCATTTTAAACCAGAGACGGTTATGCCATTTTGCTTTAGCTTGGTTTTGGAATTGAGCAGTGCAGCTGTTGTTTTCTGTTAGTGAAACAGAGAACCACTGTGAAGCTGTTAAGTTGTAATTTAGAAAGGCACTTAATATCTTTTTTTTTACACTGCATATCTAACATCATATCTGGTCTCAAGCATTTGAGTAATTGTTTCCAGAAAAGTGTCTAAACCTTTTTTTTTTTTATCTTACATCAGTTCTATGCTCTAAGCAAAGGTTGAGCACAGACAAGTTGGTTCTGTCCACTGTGAAGGAAAGGGAAAGGAGAATCTGAACTTTAACTGAATTATTGACGCTTAGTGGGTGCTAGCAGTATGCCAACTCAGTCATTTGCACTGACATGATGATAACCTGAAATATCTCTGAATAGGTGCCTGTCTGTTTACAAGTACAGCTTAGTTTTCCAATTATATGCTACGGTCTTCCCTTATATGTAGCTTGTGATTGACAAGTCCTGGATTATTTCTCTTTCCC